TCTAGGAGTTCAAATGTCGCTATATGCGATCAGTTTTTCTAAAAACTCTAAGAAATCCAGTGAGTAAATCCAATGGTTATATCCATTCAAAATCACATAAAAGCCATCTGAATCATCGAACATGGCGTTTTCGTCGTTAAAGCCGATACCTCGTTATAACCGTTATATACGATATTGTAATTCGAAGAAATTTTAATGTAAGCTGCAGCCTTGATTATTATAAGTCCTTCAATATTGTTATAAACTATAAAACCACATCGCTATTCCAACTTAGTAAAAATCGTATTTTAATAAATAGTGTTTTACGTTCTCCAATTAATTGATCGAGAGATAAATAAATTGAAACTACAAATCATTATTAATTTCACACATTGATTATTAATACTTAAAATACAATTGAAAAATCATGACCTCGGTCGAGACGGCAAAAGTCTCAGGAAGTGATACGTCCAATGCAGGCTATGTATGATGCCAATGGGGATCGTTTATGAGTTTTTTTTTAATATTCAGTTTTGAATTCTGCAGAAACCAGAAATTTAGTTTAGAGATATCCAATTGTCGATTATTAATATTGTTAAAAACTTCGATTTTACAGATAGTTCAGGAACGGTTGAATTGCCTTCTGATTTTTAACTGTATGTTTAATATTGGGGAACGATAGATACCTTTATATTATTTGAATTATATTTTTATTTAAGGCATGTGACAACAGTCGTAGCAATTCATTGGCTGGCAAGCACCTGTTTGTCCTAGAGAAGATATCAAGCTGCTAGAATACAAAATGGTGGCCATGTGAAGATAGAAGAGAACTTACATAGGTTGCAGGCGTATATATAAAGAGAGCTTATAGATATATAAAGCTACCAACACTTTCAATTTATATTGTTTACAGTCTTAAGACCTGAAATAAAATTCAGTTACCCCATACTCGTAGATTTCAAGTCGAAAAATTGAATTAACGATTAAAAAAGTTTACTTTAATCGGTTTTTCGCTTATATCAGTAAAACTATGCGTTATATCTATAATAGTGTGATATGTGAAATTAAAGCTGGCAAAATTTGCAGTAGAAATAGTTATATTATTTTATTCGCTATATTCTATAGTTTCCGTGATATTCGCCCTCGTAATTCACTAATTTCAAAAAAAAAATAATTTTTGCATTGCATTTTTATCATTATTTGACTCGCCAACTCTTTATCTTTTCATTATATGAAAAAGTCATGAGTAAGAAAGTTGTTTAATATTAAATTTTCTTTAAGAATGTATATTATTTTACGATCTTATCTTCAACCATTCAAAGGCTTGGGCAATTATAATTTAATGATTAAACTTCTAAACTGTACAGAAAAACTTATTCTCATCAGGCCTGTTGATATGATCAATTTATAAGGACAAAGCTTAGTATGAAATATGACACCTTTTTTACCACGGGCTCCCGGACTATTATAAGAGCATGTACAAACCTGAAACGTCTCAGTTTTTTTATTTGGCTCCACTCCTTCAACATTGAGACTATACGAAGCTTTTTCTTGGTGGTAGGCGGGATGTTTAAAACTTCCCCGGCACTATAACGCGAACTCAAAATTATTTTATCATGTAAACTTGAGTTTATAAGGTTGCCGGGAAACACGTGTTTTACACAGCTTTATTTCCCTCTTAATAGAAAGAAGTGGCGGAGACTCAAATTTATTTTTCTTCAAAATTTATCATAGTTGAAGATAGATATCTCGTTAAGTGAGGTAGCGAAAAAATGTATAGAATCAATCATATTGCAAATTTTATCAGCTTTAATCTTGTATAGAACGTCTTTGTTGATGCGATGGATAATTTTCCTGATATAAGTGAAACCCCAAAAAAACCTTCTCTCCCCCCCTCACCTGGCTTACCACCTAGGAGTGAGGATGTTTAGTATTTTTATTTTTTTACTAGTCAAACAATCTACCAAAGTCAAAAATTGTGTTCCTGCCGTTTCTTTCTGTAATCATTCATTGATTGAACTACTCGGCCATCTCGCCTCGCAGTTAGTATCGTATGGATAATTATTGTTTTGTTTGTGGCAATAAAAAAAATAAATGCCTAACATTAAAATAACAATAGCCCGTAGCTCAGTTTATTTCATAATAGATAAAAGCGTCTAGTATGAACTTTTACATTTTCTTACTTTATGAAAATAAAGTGCTTAGAGTGTTAGTAAATAGGGGATAAAAATAAATTTCTTAAGTTCAGTTTTCAAAAATAAAAACAATCCTAATCATGCTTCCTCTCGAACATTATATTTGTTTTTTAAAAGACTGAACAGACTTTTTTTTACTCTAATCTTTCAATTTTCCATCATGTATGATAAATTAAATAGTTATAAATTATATATATATATATATATATATATATATATATATATATATATATATATTGTTATAGTTATAAATTAATTAGTTATAAACTATATATTTTTAACATTTGTGTCTCTTGGCATATTGGTCAGGGAAAACTTGGAAAAGAGGGAAAAGTCAGGGAATTTTACTCTGACAATTAGGTAGCCACCCTGTTGAAGCTGTTTTTCTAAATCACTAAAAAATATATTTTGGGGTATTGTGCTCTTTTAACAAAAAAAAAACAACATTAATTTCTTTGATAGGAATATTTCTTTCTTACCTGTTCTACAATGAGCTTCGAAGACGTTTTCATCAAATTTCAACTCGGAGTATTTCAATATCCAGATTTTAATTTTTCACGAGAGATTAGTTCTTATTTTCAGCATTATTAATTTTTTTTTTTTTTAATAATGAAATTTCTACGAGTCAGCTGAAGGCCAGAATGGACACTGAAGGGCTGAATAATTGAGTGGGACTTCAAGTCAAAACAATGACAAGTGTCTAACAAAACAGCTTATTCTAGGAAGATAGTTTTTTATTGCTATCTAATACTTTAGTTCTATTCTTAGAATATTTCCCACTTATGTTTACTTGTTCCTTTTGTAATATTAAATTCGATCTTTGTTGGTCACATAATTATTTACCTTCCTCTTATTTTTTTATTTTGAATTATAATAAATTTAATGTAGACAATATAGTAAAACAAAAAAGTAAATATTAAACCCACATATACAGGGTGTCCTATAAGTAGAGTAAAAGATTTAAAAGGCTGATAGTAGACATCAAGATCTCCAAAAAAGTTTATATAAACAATTTCCCGATTCCCAGCAGGAAAGTGGGAAATTCAAGATGTGTTTTTTTAAGTGAGTCACGTTTTTTGTTTAATAGAAAGTGATAACTACGTAAATCTTTAATTTAAGTAATTTACAATTTCTTTATAGTAAAGTAGATAAAATTTACTTCAAATGGAGTAGAGTTTGTCATTGTTGAGTCCATTTAAAGAGGACTTTTGAATGGCTGAACTCAGCTAAGTTCTGTTTTAAAAAAAATCATAAATTATTTGCGATTTTTTTATCACCCTCAAACTTTAATACAGATACTCTACTTTTAGAAAAACTTCCTTGTTTAATAAGCTTTAAGTCTATATTAATTAAGTTTAAGTTTATTAGGCAAAATTTTGAGATTCACCTCAAGTTTTGCAAAAAAAACTGTCATTTTATACCGTGTCACCTAAAAGTAACTATATTTAAAAAAAAAAATGGTTATAATAAATTAATGAATAACTTTAATTTATTTTTTCCCATGATCTGGGATTTATTATAATTAATATAAATGGATCAGTACACTTTTTATTTATTAAAAAACAAAATTAAAAATAATGGTTTTTCGAATATTTATCATCTTAACTAATAATTAAATTGTGTTTTTAAATCGAGATATCTATTGTCATTATTGATCCGTATTTTTAAATGTCCTACTAAACTTTCATAAGCCTAATGTTTATGTTTTCGTGAAAAGTAATTGTAGCAATCAGCAGGATTCTTGATCTTAAATGTAAATATTAGGATTAAGAACATTTAGTTGGACACTTAAAAATACGGATCAATAACTATAATAGATATCTTGGTTATAATAGTTTAATTATTACTTAAGATGATAAATATTCGAAAAATCATTATTTTTAACATTTTTTTGTATAAATAAAAAGTGTACTGATGTATTTATATTTGTTATAATACATCCCAGGTCATAAAAAAAAAATTAATGCTTTTCGTTAATTTATTGTAGCCATTTTTGCTGAGAATATGGTTACTTTTAGCTGACACGGTATAAAATGGTATAGTTTTTTTTGCAAAACTTGAGGCGAATATCGAAATTTTGCTGTACTATAATATATTTATATATTACGCTCTAAAATTTCTATGTACTATAAAAGACTTATTTACTTGACTATAATAAGGTGTATTTGAACTTATGGAGTTGAACTATCAGGCTCCACTAAACCATCAAATTCCTCACATATATATACCTTACAATCCAAAATCCTCAATACTCTCTCCTTTGTCACAAATAAAATTATCCATAATGATCTTAATGTTCCATGTGTTACCGACTTAGTCCAATCCGGATATCTATCATTCCATAATAAACTTCAGGCCCATCCAAACCCACTTGTTTCTAACCTTGCGTCCTCTTCAATTCCTGACAACCCTCTGAGGCATCTGAGCAGAATATAGCCTCGAGACCTTTTAATATAGAACTATAATTGGGCTGTAATACCAATATGTAGTTTCTCTTCATGCTTATCACAAGTCATACATGCTATATTACCAATTCATATCTATTTGTATTATTAGCTACTACAATTCTCAATTTCAATAAATATATATATGTTTTTTTTTTAATCTTGATTTGTGTTTATTAGCTATAATGAGTATTTGGTTTACATACATTACATTGATTCCTATGGTGATTTAAAAACAAAGTAGTAATTGTGCACAACATTAATTTAAATATTTAATGCTTTAATGAGACATCCAAAATGTCTCAAATTTCATGAGCCTCTATTCTAAAATTTTTAGAAGTCAATTTTTAGTATCAATAATTTTATTTTTTATGATTTGCAGGAAGTTATCTGAAGAAGTGCGTTCTTTAAAAACTGCACTTGAAAATGAACACAAGTTGCATGTATTGCAAATGCAGGCTATAAATGCGCTTTGGCGGAAAGTTAGTATACAAATATTTCATTTAATTTTAAACTATCATCTATATATTTTTATTATCATTACTAATAAATTTTAATATAAAGGATGTCCCATAAGTAGAGAGAAATTTTTATATGCATGATAGCTTACCTCAAGAGCTACAAAAAAGTTTATATAAGCAATGGTCCGATTTTCAGTAGGAAATTAAAGTTTTGTTTTTTTAAGCTAGTCATTTTTCTTTTGTTCAATAGGAAGTGATAACTAACAAACTGTTTAATTTAAGTAGTTAAAAGTTATTACACTGTAAAGTAAACAAAATTTACTTTAAATGAAAGAACAATTTGCTCTTGTTGAAACCATTTAAAGAAGAGGACTTTAATTTGTTTATTAGTTTTGATGCGCTGTTAAACTAAGCTAAGTTTGATTTTTAAAAAATTATAAATTATTTGCGATTTTTTTTATCATCCTCCAACTGTACTATGGATACCCTACTTTTTGAAAAACTTCCTTGTTTAATATGATTTAAGTCCATATTAATTAAATTGTGGTTTATTAGGGAAAAACTTGAGAATGGCTGTTGCGGTCAACATGAAGAATTTACTTTATTTTTATGTAACCAGCTTTCCACTGACGGCATACAAAATTTGGCGGCCGCGGGCAATCAAATTTAAACAGCCAATTCTGTTCAACCTTATCCACAGGCAGCTAATGTCTTGTTAATTAATTTATTTTAAAAATGTTAAATGAGAAAAATCCATGTGGATAAATAAATGCCAAATAGTAGAAATTATATTTTGAAAAAAATAATTCAATTGAATATTTTTTTTATTGAAGAAAAATAATACAATCTGCCACAATCTAGGGCATTAAGCATTAAGGCTCTATGCTTACATTCATACATTTTATATACAATTTAAAATATAATAATATTGAGAAAAAATTAAATAAGAAGAAAACAAGTAAGTAAAAATATATACATTTAAAAAAAAAACTTGTAAAAAGGAAAACAAAGTACATTGAAAGAATAGCAAGGCAGAAAATAAAAAAATACTTGTCACACTTTCATTCCTATGCACAATATTTACATTCAGCCTAGGGATCTCTAAACCATGCCTTGCCACTCTCACATCAAAGGCAAGGCAGGGCTCAAAGAGATCCCAGCGCTTCTCTCCCAGCTGCATCACTGTTTAAAGCCAGTGAAGACTGAATAAGAGCACTAAAGCCACATACGCTCAGGACTTGAGTGGAGAAGCTGGCCACTTCCAGAACTCCAATAGAATATTTATAATAGATCTTGGGGCCACTGCCGTTTCAACCTTCAAAGAGGATTATATGGATGGTTGGAGCTGGAAAGGGATTGTGCTAAGAGATTAGGATGATGGATAAGTTATTTATGAACGTTTGAGAATTTGGATGGAATTACGTCGAGGACAAATGGGATGTTGAGATCATGATGTGAAGTTTTGTTTGTGATATAGTATGGAGCATTAACTATTGTTTGAAGGACTTTGGATTGAAAGGTTTGGATACATTTGATGTTGATGTTCGAAGATTTAGTTGTCCCCCACAGTTCAAGTCTATACTTCAAGATGGGTTTTTATATGGTCTTATAGACTAGTAGTTTGTTATCAGTTGAGAGATGTGAGTTTCTGTTCAGTAGTCTATATAATTGTCCAAATCGTTGGTTTAGCTCTTGTCTTTTGAGTCTGGTATGAGGTTTCCATGTCAATCTCTTGTCTAGAAGAAAGCCCAAGTACCGAATTGTGTCTGAGAAGGGAAGAGGTATGGAGTTAAAAAATACTGGCGGACAGAATTTGCGTCGGAGTGTGAAAGTGATATGCCTAAACTTTGAGTAATTTACTTTAATATGCCAATCCTTGCACCACTGCTCAATTAGGGAAAGATGACTTTGCAGGTTTAGGGATGCCATTTCAGGTTCTGTGTGGGTGGAAAGAATTGCGGTATCATCAGGAAATGATGCCAGGAAGGTATTTGGATTTGTAAGGATGTCAGCAATATGGAGGATGTAGAGAACTGAACCCAAGATGCTGCCTTGTGGAACACCAACTTCTATTGGATAATAGTTGGAGAGTTCTGTGCCGCAGCGTACTTGAAAGGAATGGTTGGAAAGGTACGATCTTAGGATTAGATATAAGGATTGGGGTAAGTGGATTTTGAGTTAAAAAAGCAAGCCATCGTGCCACACCCGGTCGAAAGCTTGCGCTACCTCCAGAAAGGCACTGGTGCAATATTGCTTGTTTTCAAGTGCAGAGAATATGTGATCAACAACGCAAAGGCCTTGTTGAACTGTGGAATGTCCTGAGCGGAACCCAAACTGATGTGAGGGAATTTCTTGGAATTCGAGTATGGGTAGGATTCGTTTGAGAAGTATTTTTTCAAATACTTTTGAAAGGATTGGGAGAAGGCTTATTGATCTATAAGATTAAGTGTCATTTGGAGGTTTGCCTGGTTTAAGGAAAAGGATGATTATGGAGTGTTTCCATATCAGAGGAAAGTGTGTTGTACGAAGGATACAATTATATAGGTAGGTAAGGAATATAATAGCTTTTTTAGGAAGTTGTTGAAGGATCTGGGAAGTGAGGAGATTGAATCCAGGAGATTTTCTGGATTTCAGTTTATTTATAAGGGATTTGACCTCAGAGGGGTTAACACATTTAGGAGGTAAGGAGAGAGAAATCAGGGAAGAGAGGAATACCTTAGCTTTGGCTATGTGAGAGGGATTTTGTTCAGGATGGGGAATGAATGTTTTGGATAATTGTTTTCCAAATTCCTCTGACCTGTTTTCATCTGTCGAAGCCCAGGAGCCATTATCATGCCGGAGGGGATGAGAAATGGTGTGGTATTTTAGGATTTTTTTTGTTGCATTCCAGAGAGAGTAATCAGAGGTACAGAGCGAGGAGAGGTAGGAATTGAAGGATTGGGATCTGAAGGTAGCCAATTTCTTAATTTGCCAATTTGTAATTATTTACGCAAACCTGTAAGAGACAGAGTAATACAGAACAGCCTCGGGCGGAGGCTGGCCAACCACTAAAGGGATTATTGCTGTCCCTTGGCTATCTCTATCCTTAGACTGTTTACAGTATTCACTGTAACAGTGATAAATAACTGATTAATCATCTTATTTATTTTCCTCTACGAGCTTAACTGTCAATAAACCTGTTGCACTGTTTTTTCACTAAAAAACTGTAATGTTGCACTGTTTAAAAAGCCACTTTATTATAGAGCGAACTGACAATGTTGAGGTCAGGGCTGGTGCATGCACAAAACTCTGAAAAAAATAAGAAATGAATGAATTAAAAATATTTCTTCTAATACAAAATAATAATAATCAAAAAATGAAAGAAACAAAATTGCTCTAAAACATTAAACATAAAAAGAAACCTTAAAAATTAAATTTAAAATATGTGTGTATTCTAATTAATTATTATAATTTAATAAAAATAAATTAATAACTCATTTATTAAAACTGGAGACCCATGGGGTCTGAAATGTCTTTTAAAGGGGTGCCACTCACCTTATAAATGTTCTTAATTATAATAAAACAGATCACCCCCAGCCGGCCAGTCATATTCTGTCTTTTAACGTGATCGATTGACGTACGTCCTCTTGGAGGAGAGCAATGTTCCAGATATGGGAAGTTGCCGTCAGAACCGGGGGGATGAAACCTTGGGTTTTCCAGGAGGAATGGTAACAGGACGAGAGAACCTCATGAAGGTTATTCAATACGCCGCACCATAAAAGCAGTATAATGTTTTCTTTTTGTGTCGTGATATCACGGCAATCTGTGCCAGAAGTGGCCAAATACATCACTGGGATGTATCGTATATATATGATATAATTATACAAATTAAAATGACCCTCTCACCCCCCATATTATGATATGGTCACAAAAATAAATTAAATTCTTGTTGGCCTCAACATTCTGTCCACCAAAATTTGTATTAAAATTTTTAATTTGGACAGGATCCTTAACTTGGTGTTTGACACTTGAGGAAATGGTCGCCCACTCTGCGAAAGCCTCCCAATTCATGGAAGTAGAGATTGCCTTGATAGGTAGCCAATTTAACAATTCTTCTTGGAATTAGTTTTCAGGATGAGAGAGCGAAAATGGGGTCGGATGTTAATAAAATGAACCAAATGAGTTTGTACAATGAAGTAAGCCATCTGAGATATAAGTTCATAAACCTATTGTAGGCACCTTAAGTAATGGTGTAGATATCTTACACATTGGTATAGGAGTTGAAGTTACCTTGCATTATGACTGACTATTTAAAGTCGCATATAAAAATAACAAAAAATAAAAAAAGAGGTAGTTAATGAATAAGCAATTAAAATAACCAAAAATGTTGCATATACTGCCCACCCTGCAAAGACCATGGGAACAAAAACAGACCTATGTGAAATGGAAAGTTACTGTGGAACTATTTTCAACTTCCTAAATGTTAGGAATGGACAATTTGGAATTTGTAAGCAAGGAGACCTTGGGTCTTAATTCCTGAAGAAAAAGAACTGAGAAGCTACCAGTAGTATACTAAGTTATCCGCTATCCGAAAATGATATATCTGCCATCTTGGTTAGAACACAAGTAGTCTGTGGGCCAGACCCCCCAACTGTGCACCTCCCTCCCACATCCCTATAAATTGCATATCGTTGTGTTCCTTGTAACTGTTTATTAAAAAAAATCCAATGTTCCCACAAAAAAAAGTGAACTAACTGCCCCAAATGGCGTCTAAACATGGCGGACTGACGCCTTTGACTTTAGTTAGTCAAAGTGGCCACTCAGAATCAGTATTTGTCTTAATTTCATCATAGTCAGTCTTTTATTAAAGCTGGATAGTCAGAGAATAATAAAACATGAAAAAATATTAAAAAATAATTGGCTTTGGCAATGAAAAACATCAATAAAATCAATTTTTTTAACAAAAAAATTTTCAAGTTGAAAATTAAGCATCATTTGTAACTAAACGGCCAACAATAACACAAAACATGCTGAAATAAAAC